GAACATTGTTTTAACCTTGTAAGTTAATTCTTTACATCGTAATGCTTGTCCTGAAGAGAAATGCCCAAAACCTCTCTGTTATATCTGTTCTGAGTGGATGACTTCTGACAGCAGTCACATATTCTATAGAGACCAAGACCAATTTTATATCTTTTACCTTTTTTTTTAATTGTATAGGTTGCTAGCTTTCCCAATGGCTTTTCTATACATTTAGCTTTCTTCTTACAGGGGTGGCAAAGCCTGCCTGTCTGTCTTGTTGTCAAATAGTGTCAGGGGGGAAATGGTGTTGGTGTAACCTCTTTGTGTTGGGTGACTAAGCCAAGCATTAAGTTGGCCATATTTCTCCAAGAGAAATAGAAAACTTACACAGTATACAACAGAAGAGGAATGTCCTGCCTTTGTACAATCACTTTCCATTTCCAGCATGAAGGTTTCTAGCTGGTGGATTGTTGTTGTTTCCAGTAATTATTCTGTGGATGTTAACAGAGAGCATAAGAATTCTAAAATGCATTTACTTTTGTCCAAAGTGATGTACAACTGAGAGTAAGTAGAACACAAGCAAGGATCTAAAGAGGAAGAAACAACGTCAGGAGATGCTAACAAACAGCTTTATGTGGGCCTGCTCTCCCTGCTCTATTACCCGGATGTAAACAAGCACAGTCAACTTAAAGCATCTCATGGGAGCGGCACGATATGGCATTATTATGATCTAGAAAAGTGAGTTAAAGTTGTTATGTAGGCTGTGTCAGGTTAATCTGGCATATTGTCCAGAGCAATGTGAGATCATATTTAGCACATGCATGTGGATGTTGACCTGCAGGGACGACTGACGTCTTGGCGGTGGCCCTCGGCCCTGCGCTCACACAGACACAGGGAGGTCTGCGAAATTTGAAAATGCCATTCTGAAACATTTAGCAGCCCGCTGAGTTTACATGTCTTACAAGAAAAGGACTTTTTGGAGTGGTTAAGTCTCACATAAATCTTTCAGCACGCTAATTGAAGCAGTTTCCCCAATAGGCTACTCTCCACAGCTGCTATTACAAATCGCACAAACTACTGCGGATGGGACGCCCAGCTGCAAAACCAAATCTTACACCCACTTGATAACGCTGTTAAGACACACACACGTGGTGCTCTGCGGATTGCTGCTGCCGCTGCTGGTTTTCTCAGACAGCTCCACTGGGAGTGTGCCATGTAGTCGTATGTAAACACAAGTCATCTCTCAGTGAGATGCGCTCTGAGAGGCGGCCCAAGTGTGCCTCTCTGCTCCTCTTCCTTCTTCTCTGCTAGAAATTCAACTTATTTAAGTGGGAAAACAGAAGAGGAACACATTGTTTACTCCAGCAGCAGCAGCCTGTGGGAGTCGTTGTGGGAGGCTGTGGGGGGGGTTACACCTACAATTCACATCTGAAAGTTGGCGTGCTAGCTGTCGATCATCTCCACCTGAGCTTCAGAGTTTGTTCGTTTTTTTTGGCATGAGGCTCACATTGTGAATCTTTAAATGCTGTTATAATGTCCTAAAACAGAATTCCAGGCTATAAGTCTAAAGAACGTCAGGATTCTGACAAACAGAATCTGATTATTAGATTTTCTTTGTTCGAGTCCCTACCTTTGTAGAATGTCTGAGAGGTTTTATTAGGTTCTTATAAATCATCTGACATCTTAGGGGTTTATTAGCAGTAGATTGTGCAAATCCAAAAGGGACATGAGGCCACATGTCACGATTAAACAATTTATGCTAATTCATAAGGCATCAGCCGACTTCAAACATCAGCCCAACAGAGCAATGAAGTTGTGGCATCATCACGCCTCTTTAACTTACGCACTCCATCCACAACAGCATGATATTGATGCCCCAGTGTGTGATCTCACATTGCTTTAGGCATTGCGGAAGGGGGGGGGGGTGGCACTATAACACACAGTGGGAGCTTTACATACACAAACAATCAGACATGCGTACACACTCACCCGACTCTGACGTTACACATTGCTTCTGTTCTGCCGCCCCCCCCTTGTTTTGCCTCTGGTGCTACCATTGATGAAAGGTCAGGGGCAATCGACTTCACCCAGCTGTTCTGCCTCTGTTTTAACAAAACGAGATGAGGTGTAAAAGAGGCGTAAATACCCCGCCTTGAACTGGCAATAGTCATGCTACAAATAGCTTTCATTAGCATACATCCTAGCTCTGCTACTACTACGCTCTGTATACAAACTAACCTGGTAATAATGTTGTGTAATAATGTGTAAGGAAATGTTAACATTAGCTGAAATGTGTTTTTCATACATTGCTGTTTTATCTTGAACCAAAGAGGTCAAAAAGCTCCAGCAACACTTGTAGTATGAAGATCGACTTTATGAACAAATCAGACCGACGTGTTTGGGCTCGTTGGCCTTCATCGGGGTCGTCAGGGTGAAGTTGATCTTCATACTACGAGTGTTGCTGGAGCTTTTTGACCTCTTCAAAGCCTTTCACTCTCCATGCACCTTGATAGTCGGTGAAGTTGTTGCCAGTAAATCCCACTCTGCTCTTATGTCGAACCAAAGCCTGATTTTCCTTCATATTTTCGCTATCCGTTCTCTTGTCTGTTGTTGATGCAGTGAAATGATACGATGGGTCAAATTCTGTACTTTTGTATGACCTTTCACGATGAAACAATATTTTGGCACTTGAGTTCTCTTTCTGACCATTTAGGTCCCTTTAGCTTTATGGTAGCCCGCTAAAGCGAACAGAGATTTCCCGTCCAGCTGATCGGAAACAAGTCCAATTCTAATCTCCAGTTCAAAACTGTGCACGTCTGTTAAACTCTGGAGGGCTTTTTCATGGCTCAGCAATTACTGAGACCTAAACTGTGACACTCCAACTTGATGTATTCCACCTCCCACTCCATCGTCCTCTCTCTGTCCTTCAAAACCTCTCTGTTCCCTGCCCTTCCTATATTTATCTCTCCTCGTCCTTCCAATTACGTCGTCTCTGTCCCTGCTTTTTCTGTCTTTATCTCGCCCTCTCTCTCCAAACTGCTACAGAACCTGTTGATGGAAATCGATCAGGGTTTTTTTGATTATTGACCGAAGCTGAACAGAGGGAGAGCAGAGTGAGCGCGCGCACACACACACACACACACACACACACACACACACACACACACACACACACACACACACACACACACACTGTCAGTACATTGGACTGTACCTACCAACAGTAGCCCTGATAAACCACTAAAACTTCCCTCCCCTGCTCCAGAACTCTGTGGATTTGTGTTTGCTCAAAATTTCTCTCCGTTTCTCCGTACAACCTTCACTAAAACTTTAAGGAAAAAGTGGTTACATATTTAAAAAAGGACGGCTCGTCTGGGTTAGTGGTGCTAAACCAAAGTGATGTAACTCTATCATTGAATACACAAAGACAAAAGCTAGCTCACACAAAGATCTTTATTTGACTCATTTCAATTTTACCAATGCATTTTCACTGAGTCACAGAAACGTGTTCACAGGGCGCCGGTAGCCTAGTGGTTAGTGAGCACGCACCATGTACAGTGTGAAGGCTGTGGTCCTTCAAGCGGGCGGCTCGGGCTCCTTTCCCCACTCTCTCTCTCTTCATGATTTCTGACTCTATCCTCTGTTCTGTCTCTAAAAAAAAAGGCACAAAAAGCCCCAAAAGAAATCTGGAACAAATGTTTGCCTGTTTGACTTCTTCAGAAGATGTAAAAAAAAGAAACTGGCCATATATGGCCAACTTATGCCATATATGCAGAACCTGGCAGTTGATTGACTTAACGAACATTACTTGTAAGGTCCCATATGCATTTTTCTTTACAATGTAAGCATGGAATAAAACTGTTAGATTTTACAAGTCTATTGATGTTATAGGCTCTGCAGCTTCATTTGTGCCTGACGTGACATATTTCTTTGATTTGATTTGGACTGAAACTGTTGATGAAATTGAGTTAAGTCAGCTTCTTCCTGACGATATTTGTGTGCCAACCTTTATCCTTTGGCTGTTAGAATAGTGACATCCTTTAAACCTCCATGTTGAGCTAAGTCTCTGAACCGGTGACTATGGGTTGCGGGCGCGCAGGTCGCCCTCGCACAAACATCGTCACAGGTGGGAGAGCAGATCGAGGACGCTTTGATGGCTCTGTTTTTGCAGAGTGAAACTCTCCGATGTTCGAGTCGTCGTCACCAGGGGGGTTCCACCTCTCACAAAGTAATAACTGCGCCCCGCCGTGCCCATCATGCCTCCATGCCAAAACCTCCTCGGCAACACCTGGCGTCATGGTAACCAACACCTGTTCACCTAATTAGAGGGACACTGGAGGGAGAGAAGATGAAGAAGTTAATGAAACGCTAATCTGGTCCAATCAAACGCCCCGGCATCTGCCTCCTGGCTGCAACAGCGGGTCGCGGTAATGGCCGCCTTATGCGCTCCTCCCCTGCCACCCCAACTTTAGTGACCTCATCAATGCTAAAACTCCGCTGAGAGGCCGTGAATAGAGAGGAGAGCAGGCAGGAGGGAGAAGGAAGGGTTGGGACAGAGGAGCTTCCTGGATGGACAGAGGAGCTGTACATAGAGGTGTCAGGATAAAGAGATGAGCTTCTCTGCGTGCAGCAGTCGGAGCGGCTCCGGCTCGAACCACCTGGCTGCTGCTCGGGTCTCCTTTTTGGGGGGGCGTCTTATGGTCAATGTGAGAGAGCCATGACCGGGCGTTTGTAGGAAAAAGGTTCGACTGAGATGAGCTGCTCTGACACAAGTTGTGCCGACTTAGTTTGTCACAATGTTAGTAACTTCCAATGTAAAACGATACGACCTATATTGTTTTAAGGATCCATAGTATTGAGAGGTTCAGGGGTTGGACAGTGTTCTGTTACCATGACAACCCTACTGCTGACAATGAAAGAACCTACTAGTTAGAAGGTTGAGTTTTGCAGAACAGTTGTGTGTCTTGTCGGTTTCTTCTTGTATGAACTCTACTGATCTGTGTTTCTGTTTTTCCCAACAGGAAACTTCAAAGGAATGTGCAAACAGATAGACCATTTTCCCGAGGACACACATTACGAAGCGGACCCGTCTGAGTACTTCTTACGTGAGTAGTATATCTTGGCTCATTTTTCTAACCCAGAATTCCCTTTTGCACATTAGATTACAGCTTGCCCTTCCAAAGTTCCCTTCATGCCTACTCTGAACATTTTTTTGATATTTGTTCCACTTTTTTTTTTTGCACCGTCTCAGACACGAGCGCCGTGCCAGTATCTGATCTTGGCCCGCGTGTCGCTGGTGTCTCTGCCTGCTTTTAGCGCGAGGCCGGCCAGGCTGAGCCGTGCCAAGCAAGCTCGTCTGTTTCTTTGCCGCTCGGCTGTGTGTAACATAACGTGCAGTGTTACAGTCGGCTGTGTACCCTGTAAACACAGCCCATTGATTTCTGCTCCCTTTCCCTTTGTGCAGGCAAGACGGAGATGCTTGTCGAACTCATTTGCCTGCTAATCCTAAAAATCACAACAATGACTCAGAGCTCATGATGTACTGTTAGTACCATTAGCTCAATACTCTCTTCTTATTGGCCAATTCAAGTATTTAAGACGTTTATTTTGTGAGTTACAGACTTGTGCTTGTGTTCAAAATCTAAACACTTGACAATTCTGGGTAGAATGAATCAAAATTGGTGAGTTTTTGCTTCTGTTTTTCCTGAACACAACTTCAAAATGCAAAATACACTGATTTCATTTTAATGTTGCAGTTCTTCTAGTTTTGCTGCTGTGGTCCAATCAGTAAGCATCTTTTTAATTATCTGCCAATTTGGATGTCTTCTTGCTGTAAGGCAATCTGTTGGGGACAACTTTCTTGTCGAGCATCCCTGCATTAGAAAGCTATTGGTTGGCAGATCATATCCATACTGAAAAGACACATGTAACAAATGTTCATTACGCGACTTGAATTGAAAGACGTTTGTCTGAAACAAACTGTGTGTTTCATAATGTTCAACTACAGGGCAATGGGGGATTGATTTCTTTTTTTTTCAGTGTGGCAAGTAGTGTAAAGATTATAATTAGAAAATCCGTCATTACAGTTCATTTACTAATTCCAGGGGCGCTCCATTGACTGTTGGATTGGGTCATTAGCTGTCTTTTGAAGAGTTTGATGCTGGGTTGTTTTAAGTTAAGTCTGGCATGTTAGCATGAAATGGAGAAATTGGCATTAAATATCTCTAAAGTTGTATTAATTACTGTATATGTTGGGTGTTCTCAGATGGCTTGGTAATGTTAGCCGCTTCTAAGCATTCACAAATGTCTTGTCTTGCTGAGAGTTGGAAGGTCCATTATTAAGCCAGCTGATGAATATGTTGTTAAAAACTCCTATCGTGGGCTGTCTGCATTTTAAACCCGTAATGTCTCACTCTCTATACCAACACATGTTAAATAGACAATAAATGACGAAGTTGGGCTCGCTTTGGAGTTGCTCAAGGGCACGATAACACAAAAAAGATCAATCTTCGCATTCCCTTTAATGTAAAAACAAAGTAATTATTTTCCACTGACTTATTATTGCACAATATTTCAAATTGCTAAGTTTTTTTTCAACACTGTGCCTGAATCTGGTCATGACTCATGACATTTTTGTCTTTGCTAACACTGTTGTACCACACGAGCTGAACCAGTGTCCCAAGTCTCTATTGAACCCCCCCCCCCCCACCCACCCAGCACTGCTACAGCCCGCAGTGATTTGAAACTGGAAGTCAGAAAGTGAGTCTCCTCGTCTCCATCAGTGGGGACAGTAATTGAGGCCTCTCACAGAGCCGAGCAGTGCGTGCCAGTGCTGGAGATTAAGCCCCGCCAATTAGGCTGTGTTTGACTTAGCGCTCTGAGCGGTTGTTCCCGTCCATATGTGCCAGAGAGGACCGTTATGATAACCGCTCTGGTAATGATTCTAACGATGCCGGGGCCGTGGTGAAGTCAGATCAGTCTTCTGAGGAAGGGGGGTCTGTCGGTCTGGGGATGACAGGGTCGCAAGTTGGAAGCCGGGTTTTAGCTCTTGAGCTGCGGACGACCGTCTTTGCGCGTGCATGTGTGCGTTTTGGTGTGTGTGTGTTAACCTCTTCCTGGGCTGTGATTGGAGGAGAAGGCCGCAGTGCTCCCAGTGGCTTGCCAATTAGGACACTCACATCCATAAATATTTCAGCCTCCTTCTTATATAGGTCAGGGCTCTCTCGATTGCTGTCTCTCACACTCTGCCTCTCCTCACCCTCGTAATATTTCATGTCATTGGTGTTACACCACCTATTTGTGATCTTTGATGACGATTCAGCACTTCAAGCTGTTTCCCGGGTGCATGAAGAGGTCATAGAATGCACAGCAACTTAGCGGATGTCTCCTGTGAAGTATTTTATTTTTTTTTTACATCTGCCTAGTCCGATTTTACGGACACACACCTGGTATTTCCATAATGAGGAGTTTCACGGCGCCTCTGGGTGGCTGAAGACAGAGAAAAGCTGCCTCCGCTCTCACATGCAGGAGAGGGAGAGAGTTATGCAATAAAATGATGTCATTTCAGGTGAAGGCCCTGGCGGAAATGACATCATCGGGGGGGCTCTCTGGTCCAAAGTCGAGGGGACACGCCGGTGATGTCATCAAACAGCGTGGCGAGGAGATATTTGGTGCTGCAGTTGCTGAGCAGAAAACACACAAATCTGACTATATTCTGCTAAAACATGCTCCCCCGCTTCAAACACACACTGATCTGCTGTCCTTATGCTGACATCCACACACACACACAAAAACTCAACACATATCAGTAGCTTCTGTGTGCTTGTATGTGTGTGTCTCTTCCGTGAGTCCTCAGCTCTCCCAATAGCAAGGCAGTTTGCACAGCCACACGGGGTTATATAAGCCAGCTGAGGCACACTAAAGCGCCAGTGGGTTTTTAGATCATGCCGTGTCGGAGCTCCCATCATCCACTGCTCTACTGGGCGCTAAGCAGCTGAGAGAGAAGAAAGGGGGGAAGAAAACGCCCAGTTATGCAAGCCAATAATGTAATACTGAAAGACATCAATTCAGTGCAATAAAGAGAGGACGATGATGTCAGGGAAGGAGGGATGTGTGGGTCTGACTGGTGAAGGAAATTGTGTTAGTCACAGGAGAGCGTTGTTGGTATTTTCTTCTGTTTTGATATCAGTGTTTTTTTTATCTATCAATTAATGCCTCATTATTGACGGTGTAATCAGTATTTCTTTTGTATTATGTGAGGATATATTATCTTAACGATTTAGACTTTTTAGATATTACGATGGTCAGTTTTTACTTCTTTTTTTTGCAATTTTTTTCCTGTGTGCCTTAATTGGGGAGCTAGGACAGTGGACAGGGAGCGAGACAGAGTGGGAAAGGACATGAGTGAAAGGAGACACAGGGGCGGATCCGAACCCGGGCCGCCAATAAGGAGAAATCACAGCCCCCGTACATGGAGTGGTGCAGTGGTTGTTGCCCCTGCAAGATTTCTTTTTACCAGAAAATTATCATTACTATGAAATGTGCTTGAGAGAAGGGATGCTTTTTAGGGCCTCAGATTGTACTAGATGGGGTTGAAATCTGCTGCTACATTTGTGCGATTGGATAGGTTCTGATGTTTACAAACTTGACAGGCGCATTAACCTTTTTATTGACAGTTGATGGGCCTATCCTATTATTTTTTGTTGGTAGGGGGGTGAAATCTGTGTATTTTACTGAATTGAAGTGGGAAGAGACTTTTAAGGAGAATTTATTATCGTCTGATTTTGTGAACAATCTCTGGTGAGCTACTGAAAACCCTGCTGCAAGCTACCGGTATAGCTTGTGAGCTACCGGTATGTTGGAGACCCCTGCTCTATATTTATTATCAATGTGTTATTTGATTGGTTGGGTTGGATCCATAATACTGTTGAGTCTTCTTTTGTCTTTTTGAAAAGCAGCAAATGTAATTCCTGGTAGATTTTGTGAAGACTGATTGATTAAAATAAATTGGATTTGTAAGGACTATCATTCTTACATTTCCTATTCTGCCCGTATTCTGATGAGTGGAAGGTTCATCCAGCAGTGGAGGTCATCAATTATTGCTTTGAATAGTGGGTTGAAGTTGAGACTGATCAGCTCTGACAGCCTGAGGGAAACATTAATGCTTAAATACATGATATGACCCGTGCATAAAGGGATCGTTGGTGTATGGGCTGTCACATCCAGACTGTTGCTTTAAAATGGAAGGATGAAAGATTTTTTTCAGTTAATACAGTAGTAATTGGAGTATGATTCAGTACATTATACAAGTGATAGTTTTGTAGAAAAAGTAATTCATCATTTGCATTCAGACTGATCTCTTGCTGTATTTTGAGCAAAAGATTATTCGAAAATGTTTGGGTATGATACCAAAAGTTTAACTCTTTTAGTGAAGATTTAAATCTCACAGAAATAGGAATGTATCATCTGCATAGAGACTGACTGTATGCTGTACATTTGGAGTGATAGACAGGTCAATGATATTGTAGAGTTATTCTGTATGTTTGTTTCTCTTAGTGATAAGAGAGAGTTTTGTAGATAAGGGAATGTATCATCTGCATACAGAATGATCTTGTCATGTTAGAAGTCTAAATTCCTTTTATGCCGCTGTTCTGACGTTGTTCTGCTTCAGGCTGTGTGTTTGCTTGTGTTGTAAGCATAAATACAGAGTTGGAGAGTATATTTGATGAACATTGTGATACATGTAGCAGCATAAAGGCAAGCTATTTCTCTTGGGGGTTGGTTGATACAACCAAACAAAGCTGCAAGACGGATGCGGTACATAAATCATCAGGACGTAAACGTTTATTTGTATTTTCCAAGCAGTTTACCAAGCTTCGGCGTCATATTATTATATATTATACCTCTATTTGAGTTGCTCTTTTCAAATCCCATCACACATTGCCTCTTTAAGATCAATAAGAAGAAAAGATTCAAGAGCATTTTATTAATTATTACTCTGCATGAATTAACTGCAGACTCACACAAAGCCAGAATTAGTGCAGAATTGAATTAGGCCACATCATTGGGCTCCCATGATTCATTTACAATGGCTCAAAGGCAAGTA